GTTTAAATCTAGATTAAAGACACATCTGTTTGGCCAAGCATTCAAATAATGCATCTCATAATCTTTTACTGCAGTTATATCTGATCAAATGCACATTATTATTCTTTAGTTTGGGTTAAACAAATAAATTTTGCTTGGTTGGAACAGCAGCTACGCTAATTATGTCTTGTGTTTCTCTGTTTCTGCTGGGATTGACATCCCGTGGTAACTAGGATTTACACAAGCTTCAGTCTGGATCCAGAACACCTGAGAAGAGATGATGCCAACCCCTCAGAGGACCTCAGATGATGCCAAACCCGGAAAACAACATACAGAACTACCACATTTAGCTATAAGTTTGACTGCATCATATAATAATTGCTGTTAATAGTGTCCATCGTCTGTTTGATTACGTCTTTAATTGATTATGTCTTTAATTAATTTTTCCGTACAATTCTGCCATATGTACATTAACTGACAGTCACTTCTGATAAGCTACTACTAAATATTGTAGAAACTTAATTTGCTGTAAAGGTGCTTTGCAATGATCTGTATCGTGAAAAGCGCTGTACAAATAAACTTGAATTGAATTGAATTGAATTATTCTTTGTAAATCCCTCTGATTCAGCTTTCTTCTTCTCTCCTCCTTTCTCCTCTTCCGCCCTTCTTGAGAATTGTTCACAAAATGCCTCAAGGTTCTCCAGTTTCTATTAAAAACTTTTGCAATTTCTCTTATGTTTGATCCCTCAGCTAGCAATTTCACTATTTTATTATTTTTATCAGATGTTAAGTTAAGTTTTTTCTGCCCCATCAAGGTGCCTACTGGAAAAGTAACTAATAATTCTGCAGTCAATATAAGCAACTTCTTATTTATTTCAGCTTCTGGTTGTCTGACAAAGAGGACTTGCACCCTATATGTATGTTCACAGTCACAGCTGTGAACAATTAAGATGATCAAACAGGTTTGAGTGAGCAATTAAGGCAAGGGTAAACCTCAAAAACATGTGTACCTAATAATTCTGCACACACTGTAGATGTTTCAAATATTCACGAAAATATAATAAAAAAAGATATATTAATAGTTCTCACTAGGATGATTTGCCTTCTGTATCTTTTGGGTCTTGATTGAATCTTCATTTTCCTCCTCCAACGAGACTGGGTTATTTGTGCCATTCTCGTATATCTTCCACTGAATCTGAATTCAATGTCACTGCATTAATTCCCAAAAACCTTTATACAGCATAAAAACATTTTTATTTAATTATATAAGTATATGCGTTGAGCAATGTTTTGATGTGATCTGAGAATAAAGTATTACATTTCAAACACTTTATTATACTGAGCGATCCTGTCACTTCAGAAATATTAGAACTATTTGATCAAAAATATTAAAAACCTCAAAGTACCGGCAGCAGTGTAATCTGCTAGCTAGTAAAACTGTCAACAGAACTATCATGTTTTATAACTAATCAATGTTTTTACATGGGATAACTTATTATTTTTCTAGGTGTAATTTCTTATAGGAATATTTAATATTTTCATGTTAAAGTATACAATATTTTGCAAAATACCAATACCAAACAACATCATATAAAAATAAAAATCCACTTCTGATAAGCTACTACTAAATATTGTAGAAACTTAATTTGCTGTAAAGGTGCTTTGCAATGATCTGTATCGTGAAAAGCGCTGTACAAATAAACTTGAATTGAATTGAATTGAATTATTCTTTGTAAATCCCTCTGATTCAGCTTTCTTCTTCTCTCCTCCTTTCTCCTCTTCCGCCCTTCTTGAGAATTGTTCACAAAATGCCTCAAGGTTCTCCAGTTTCTATTAAAAACTTTTGCAATTTCTCTTATGTTTGATCCCTCAGCTAGCAATTTCACTATTTTATTATTTTTATCAGATGTTAAGTTAAGTTTTTTCTGCCCCATCAAGGTGCCTACTGGAAAAGTAACTAATAATTCTGCAGTCAATATAAGCAACTTCTTATTTATTTCAGCTTCTGGTTGTCTGACAAAGAGGACTTGCACCCTATATGTATGTTCACAGTCACAGCTGTGAACAATTAAGATGATCAAACAGGTTTGAGTGAGCAATTAAGGCAAGGGTAAACCTCAAAAACATGTGTACCTAATAATTCTGCACACACTGTAGATGTTTCAAATATTCACGAAAATATAATAAAAAAAGATATATTAATAGTTCTCACTAGGATGATTTGCCTTCTGTATCTTTTGGGTCTTGATTGAATCTTCATTTTCCTCCTCCAACGAGACTGGGTTATTTGTGCCATTCTCGTATATCTTCCACTGAATCTGAATTCAATGTCACTGCATTAATTCCCAAAAACCTTTATACAGCATAAAAACATTTTTATTTAATTATATAAGTATATGCGTTGAGCAATGTTTTGATGTGATCTGAGAATAAAGTATTACATTTCAAACACTTTATTATACTGAGCGATCCTGTCACTTCAGAAATATTAGAACTATTTGATCAAAAATATTAAAAACCTCAAAGTACCGGCAGCAGTGTAATCTGCTAGCTAGTAAAACTGTCAACAGAACTATCATGTTTTATAACTAATCAATGTTTTTACATGGGATAACTTATTATTTTTCTAGGTGTAATTTCTTATATGAATATTTAATATTTTCATGTTAAAGTATACAATATTTTGCAAAATACCAATACCAAACAACATCATATAAAAATAAAAATACCAAAATACCAAAAACACACTACTCACAATTCAAGCAACTACAAACTAAAGTAAGATTTATTAAAACTTAAAGTTTGACCTCAGTGTTGATTTTGAAATACCTGCAATCTGTTTTCTCTGAATTTCTATATAAAAATGGACAGGAATGACCATTATCACTAATTGTTGACAAGATGTGTAGTTAGAATATTTTGCCTTATTAGTGCAGTAAAGGTATTACACATTTGATTGCATCAGGTGTGCGGTTCACCTGTGAGTCGTGATTGAGCAAGTGCATAAGGATAGGTGACCATTTAAAATATGTTTTAGGGTGCACTTGTGAAAAAAAAAAGTTTCAAACAAATATGATAAACTTCATAAGCTTGACATTTACACAGTTCATTTCATTAACATTTTTATATTGGTCATTTGATACCCCTGCCTCAACAGAGGGTGAAGGTGCAAAATACGGAGGGAAGCAGAAAGAAAAAGGTCTGTTGCCAATGTGTGTTTCTTAATGTGTTTTAAAGGACGTAAACATAAAACTCTGTCTGCATTTGTGATCGGAGAAATGACAAACAACAAGAGCTACTCTACACTGCTCAAAAAACTCGCTTTAAATATATGACATATAAAAACTCTTTAAATATAAAAGACGGCATTGTAGTCTACTCTCCCAGGATCAGGAAACAGTCCTCCATAAAATGTGCTGCACACATCTGGATATTTGGGTTGAAGTGTTCTGGAACAGTGTAGTAAATACAACTTAACCACTGATTTCTAGTCGTGTCCTCTTTTGGAAGACCAAACAAAGTAGTTTTGCTTTTCACAATGAAACACAGCGTCACACACGGCGGCCTAGTTGGCCGGCTGATTCGACGAAGGAGCGTCCGGAGGGCTTGCGGCAACAGCACGAAGTTGATGTATTCCTCAGCGACCAGCACGGATCAGCTCCAGGCTTGACAAAGCAGATATCGTCCTCTTTTGGAAGGCCAAACAAAGTAGTTTCGCTTTTACAACGAAACACACAGCACCTTCATGACATGGCAGAAACAACAATACTACAGCGAGAATAAAAGTTACGCCTTCTTTCTTTGCGTGAACATTTGGGTGGCATTATGCAAATCTTCCCACATAGTGAGGTAGGTATGTGGGGGCGTGTTAGAACGAGCCGTTTTAGGTAGGTGTGGCTGACTCTTAACTTTTATAAAGAATATCTCTTTGGATTTGAGACTTTAGTCTTTGCAACTTTACAGATCTTCTTTATGCACCAAGAGCTTGTAACACTCCAAAGAGAAAGGAAAAATTGAAATCGCATCATATGATCCCTTTAAGACTTGTAGTTTAAAAACAAGTCATTTTTTAAACTGCTCAAGTTTACAGTATTTTCCAGGTTAATAATTGCATGACTTTCACTGTAGTTTCACAGTGAGACTTATCTTGTATCTAACTGCA